ATCAACAAATGTAACTTATACTAACACATGAATAATTAACAGTTAGGCAATATCATTTTTATAGCAAAGGTATTTTTCATTACAAAAATACATCTTCCGATCATATTAATGGTTTGAACTGCTGACAACTTGTTTGGAAGTTATATTATCTTAATCTAAATCAATTTTCTCATTTCAAATCATTTTCATGAATTTATACTCTTCATTACATATGTAAACTTGTTTTTGTGTTAATCATTTCAGTGATAAATTTAATTCTTCATGCAAACAGGACACACAATTATACATAATGATATTTATTTTTTTATTATTATTTATTTATTCTAGAAAATGGGCGAAATTCATATACGAAACATATAGTTGTATATAAATGTAAAGTTTCATTTGAAGTGAACATATCTTTGAGCATTTATCTTGACAATGTTAAAGAAATATTAAAGATATTCTGGAATATGGGCAAAGACTAATGCTATTACAATGAGTTTGTATGTTATTAAAGAAGAACATACGGTGATACGAAAAGAAAAGCTGCACTCTCTCCCTGTGACAGTTCAATTTCAGTTCAATATCCTGTGTGGGTGTCATCCTGTCTACAGCAGACCATATTTCGCAGCATTTATTTGTTGATTTACTTTACTTACCATTGTATTGATTATACGGTCATGGACATTTGAGCCACGTCATGACAAAACCAACATAATGGGTTTGCGACCAGCATGGATCCAGACCAACCTGCACATCCGCGCAGTCTGATCAGGATCCATGCTGTTCGCTTTCCAACTTTATTACAAGTAGAGAAACTGATAGCGAACACCATGGGTCCTGATCAGACTGCGCGGATGCGCAGGCTGGTCTGGATACATGCTGGTCGCAAACGCAGTATGTTGGTTTTGTCGTGACGCGGCTCATTTATTAAATAGAAGATTTCGTGGCACGTCCCTGAGGCCATGTTATACATGAATGGTGAGATGTGAAGTTTTTCATACATAAAACCAAATCAATAAGATGTCTCGTCAATCTTTTGTTATATCAAAGCGAATAACTGAACGAAAAAAGTCAAATTTCTGTTTCTTCGTATGTAATGGCGATAAAAGAGCATTTTTCTTTTTCATCTCTTGCATCTGATAGCGGTGTTCAAAATGTTGCCAATGGAAACAGACACATCGATGGCAACAGAGACACGGTTCTTCTCTTTAAAAATCTTTCACTATCACATTTACATTTTTAACAATATACAATTACGCCTTGTTTGAGTTAGGAACGTGTATGTTTTTACAAACTTATTGGATTATAAACTGAAATAATTAGTACATAAACATTTTAGCGTATATATAATTATAAATCTAACATATTCTTTTCGTATAATTATTTTTTGTCATTGTATTTTGAAATGGAACTATGTTCATTTTTTCGCTGTCAATTTGTGTTGAATAAGTTAGATTATCAATTTAATGATGATTGACAAATATTTGATACTTGATACAATATAATAACAACATAAGTTATAAAAAGACTGTTCAACATTTTTTAAGAATTGAGCAATACCGATACGTTCAGAACGATATTTATCAAATAAATTCCATTGGTCGAATGGATTATTGTAGTGAAATACAAAATTGAACACAATTGTTGAAAATACAAAATTAATTTGTTTTACCTGTACACTGACCATTTACACTTGGATTGACATCATGACGAATTCATACTTGTCGTCTATTCAGTTAATAAGCTTATATTCTGGCACCAATAATCCTACTTAAATACGGGTATAGTCATCATAAGGAATTCTTGGCTGCTTTTTTAAATTTATGTTTTGACGTCTTTTCTTTCTATCTTTAAGTTCCGTCCTTTGTTTTCACGTTTAGGGCAGTCGCATTCTTTTGCTTGGGGATCATACGCCGCTTTTCATGAAATGGCACGAACGTGTCACATTAAAATTTCCATGATAACCCGTACGGATACATCTGCGTATGTTTTTAGATTTGAACTTCTCCATTTTCATGTTTAAATGTTGAATTCTGGTAGATGATTTTAGTTATTTAGGTGTGATATTCAAATTTAATGGTAAATTTAATAAAACAAAAAAGCACTTGACAGATCAAGCGAGGAAGGCTATGTTTAGTATTTTAACTAAAATTAAGAAATTGTGTTTGCCAATTGATATTCAGTTACAGTTGTTTGATAGTATGGTTAAGCCAAAATTATTGTATGGGTCGGAGGTGTGGGGATCTGAAAAAAATTCTATTATTTCTCAGTTTCAATTGAAATTTTATAAATATATACTTAAACTTAAGATGTCAACTCCTTCGGTTATGGTCTTGGGAGAACTAGGTGCATTTCCTATTGAAAATGATATTACTTGCAGAATGTTAAATTTTTGGAGTAAATTAGTTAATGGTAAAAATGATAAAATATGTGCTTCTTTGTACCGGACTATGTATAATCTTCATGAAAAGAAGGGTATTTTACATTGTCAGTGGATCGAGAAAGTAAAATCTACTTTGAATAATATTGGTTGTTCTGATTTTTGGATAACTCAGAATGTTGCAAATTTTAATAATTTTAAATATGTAATAAAATCACGATTACGTGATCAGTTTTTACAAGTATGGAATAGTGATGTTTTTGATTCTGCTAAGTGTTTTAACTATAGAATATATAAAACTCAATTTAAATTAGAACATTATTTACTATGTTTACCAAGAAATTTAGCAATTGCTCTCTGTAAATTTATATGTCTCAATTCTAATATTCCTATAGAGAAAGGTCGCTATTTTGGTATTGAAAGAGAAAATAGAACATGCTCACTTTGTAATCAGCAAGAAATAGGTGATGAATTTCATTATATTTTTAAATGTACTTATTTTAATCATGAAAGACACAGGTATATCAGTAACTATTATTCAAGGTTTCCTAGTATTTTAAATTTTCAGGCTCTTATGTGTAGCGACAACAGAAATACTTTATTTAATCTAGCCATTTTTGTCAAAGCTATAATGCTGAAATTTCAATAAGTCATCTTCCTTATTTACTTATTTACTTCATGCCATGTTTGTATTATTACTTTTTGTTTTGTTGATTGTTCACTCTTATGCCCTTAAGGGCCATGAGTTTTGTTTATAAATAAAAAAAAAATAAAAAAAAAAAAGGTAAAGCTAGGGGGCTAGATTGCAACTACCACTACCGTCCGACATAAAGATTCAATTAAGCCGAATCTGCAATGTTGCCGTTTTGGGTGTATTTATGGATTCCTTTTTTCACAATTTTTTTAAAACATATCTTAATGTACTTATTTTGTCGGGGGTTTTATACGTTTAAGAGAAGTCAGAAAAATGTTCATCTTCATGTTATATACTACTCTTCGAAGACAGACTGACCTTACAATGCTTCCTAATAAACAGTTATAAATAGTTCCATTAAACGATACAATAGCCATAACAACACATACTGGTGAGTTTTTCATAAGTGATTAATATGTTTGTATTGATTTAACAAACTTGGTGACGTCTGTGACATTTTTAATGAAATTTACAATTCCCCTTAGTTCTTACGTCTGATAGAAGCCAGTCTTTCCCTACGGAGCACGTCTTTCACACACAACATAATAATTATGTTGAAATGTATCTCAAATGTCAAATGTATCTCTCTAGTATCAAATGACGATACAAGGGCATTGTCCCTCTCTGTTTTAAATCACAATACTTTAAGGTTTTGCATTTCTTTCGTCGTATCTAATACGTTAATCTACTTGAATAAATACATTGGTATTAAACTTAGGATCAATCAAGATATAATTTTCAGATGACATCGATTGTGGCTTCAAAATTTGATTAATGAAACTGCAGACGAGTAAAGCAAAGGTCGTTATTCAACATTAGAATCGGTTTTGTGGATAATATGAAGTGCAACAGACAATTTATATCTGATATTCGTCGTTTGGCGTATTTCATTCTTATTTATAAAAGGGATGAAAATGAATAAGTCGTATTTTAATATGTGTAACATACTCGTATTGTACTGATGATTCCTTTGTTATAAGAATTTTTGCATCTATTTTGTTTTTATCATGTTCCCTTTAATCACTGACTGACAAATTTGACAGCTTTATCCGTGTATTCTCTAACGTGTTATAAGTGTTCTGTCACTTGCATAAAAGAAATAAAATCGTACTGAATCGTTTCTGAACATTATTTTGCATTATGATTATAATATTTTAACTCTTGTTGCAAAACACCGCCTTTCTGGTGTTAAATGCTTCTAAATATATCATCACAGTACAAATAAATACAATGCATCCTTCAGGTAGTCATCCGAGTAAAAACGTTTCCTTTTTTCCCCTTTTCTTTAAATGCAAATTACCGTATAAGTGTTTTTTTCTGCGGTGACTTTATTTCTTCGTATTCTGCGGTCAGTTTCATCACCGCAGAAATATATAACCGCAGAATATTCCTCCAAGTTTGTTATGACATTTCTCCTACAATTATGACCTGTGTCGTCTTAAATAATACTGAATAACGGATTTTGTGTCAATGTATGAATAAAGATATATCAACATCATAATTATATAGTGTTTGCGTACGCTAAAAGCTTTGTTTACCACTAAATTTTTCTAGCCAATTTAACCTCTACACTGCTTTTTTTGTGAATGAGATAATATTTTTTATCAAAACATTCATTTAGACACTCTGGGAGATGTGAACCTACGCAATAGAAACATTATTGATACAATTCTGCAGGTGTTATCAGTTCCTGGTGAATTATTTGGATTAAGTCCATTAGCAGCAGTTTTTATTTCGTTCAATTTAAATAGCCTTCGGTATTGGCCTATCGAATGTAGTAATGTTAAGCAAAAAAGAACGAAAAGAAGAATATGTCAAAAAAATTTACACAATATATAAGAGTATGCTTTATAAATCATACACTGTGTAAGCATGTCTTTCTACGACGGCCTAGTTGATAGATTAAAAGAACGTTTTTATTCTTTTTGCTATATGTTTCAGTTGCTGGACATAGATGTTGGTGTTTTGCCCGGAAGTGCTGTAGAGGGCACCGTTAAACAGCTCAACCCAAGACTGCATGCAAAGTGTCGTCAAGTAGACACTACTGATAATGCCATCGATAGACTTATGTAAGTATTTGCATGTTTGGACTTTAAAACAAGAAAGACTTCCATAGGAAAGTAACAAAGCATGGTTTGATTTATTAGATACTAGGATAATGTTCTAATAACTTTGTCTTTTAACACTTTCTGAATTCAAGTAATTATCAGAACTGTTCCTTCCCTTTTGTACAGTTTATCTATGTGTTCCAAAGTATACAAAATGGGATATATTCGTACACACTGTCTAACCTTTGCTTTTGTCAACAATTTATACATACATGCTATATCATTTTCTATAAAATACATTCATGGCCGCAAGGGGAAAGTTCCTTTTTATTTATTTATCACCACTCAAAGTAAACTTTGTTTTAGCAGTAGTATTTATGTATCCACTGTAATAGATTCCCATAAGCAAATTCCTAGTGGGAAGCGATGTGTCATAAAAACTAATAAAGATAATGCCTGAGAAAAGTTTCATAAAAAGACATAAGAATACTATATAGACACAGTATTTGACAAGTCATGCAGCTATAAATAAAACGGTAATTTTGTTTTATGTTCCCTAATGGAGGCGTTTACTTGTTGAACTGAGCGTGCGCTCTGTCATCTTTTTGTCCTTAAATACGTATTTACAGCATTCTTTCAAGTTCAACGGCAGGTTAAGCCAATGTCTCGAGTTGTCTATATATACAAGTGAACCAATTATTATCATGCAGAATCTTATCTTTTTATTATTTAAACTGTGTACAGATAATTATTCATCTATTAGTCATACACGATATGATATTAACAAAGTTTGTTTGTTTAAGACATAAATCACACTCTGTTAAAGTGCTGGCTAGCTAATTCTTTTGTAATGTAAAGAACTAAACTGAACTTACCGCTAAAGCCGGTGCTAGGGGCGTGAGAGTTGTTGCATTTTTCATTATCCCTCACAAACCGAGTCTGCAATTTTCAATGTAATTCTGCTGAATTTAATGCTTCCGAGGGATCACTTTTTCCAGATATACATTATTTGATCACATGTAAATTGGTATTATTAAAATTTTATTTTAAAGCCAAGCAATACTGAATATAGAAAACATTTTCAAAAAATATCCTCCCATCATTAGTAAAAATGTACATGAATATTGCACTAACCTCCAATTCTTTACCATTTGTATTAAACTGGCAAAAAATATGTATTGAAACCAGAAAAAATATATCCTGGATAAGCATGTCAAACAATATATAAATGATACATCTATGATCTTCATAGAATTGCCATTATAAAAAAACAACAGGTTGTGATGCTCTGATTTTGATAAAATCACAGATCGACATTTTTCTTTCTGCGGCTGTTTCTAAAGTTAAGACAAACACCATTTTAATATCCAAATTTTGAGTCATGGCTCCAACAGGTGCTAGAGGAAGGGGGAATTCTTGCTTTTCATATGGCCGTCTATGAACAGAAGCATGCACTGTCGTTTTCAATAAAAAACTAAAGGACAAGCAAACAAAACTAATAAGTATCGAAAATATCTAAAATTAATTCAATCAAAAGAACAAAGTCATTTCATCTACTACATAAATTAAATTAAATACTTGAAAATGTACATTGTCACCGAGTGTCTGTATTTCATACAATTACCACGATGTTTCGATTGCTAAGAATGAATATACGTTTCGAACCTGTAAGACTTCTTTCAGTTCTTTATATTTCTAAATCTATATGCGAAACATTTATCTTTCACAATTAAAGAAAAATCTGGATAAAGTGTAATCCGTCGGAAGCATTAATCACAACAAAATTACATGAAAATTGCAGACTCCTTTTGATTGAGTCTGTACATAAGGGAAAATGAAAAAGTGCAAAATTTCTTACCCCCCCCCCCAGCACTGACTTGAACGGTACTTAATTTTTAACACTTAAAAATTGGTATCAATGATCCCGAAGGAGATTCATCTATCAGCGCATTACATTAGTTGATTCTTTTAAGATATAGTTCTCTCTCGTTGCCATATATTTTCTGAATTTCCTATTCTATGCAGTCCAAAACCGTATTGGCATTAAAAATATTTAATGGAGCAATTAGCAAACAAAAGAATTCAGTTTGTGTTAAATCTGTTGTTTCAGACATGAAAGGGTTCCTTGTTATTCTGATACATCGCTTAATATGTAGTTATTATCAATAATTGGATAAAATACATAAAACTAAAGGAGTTACCTTTATTATTGGGATATTGCCAATTTTTATGTCCTACCATGTTTGACCGAACGTTTATTATATAGACTGAGGATCAAATTTGTAGAACTTATTATGGCCCCAAACGCGAGAATTACTGTCGATCTGAAGTACATTTATATTTTACCGACATTATACATGAATATTAATAAGAGATAAGATGCCGATGGTTATGTATTTAGGATTGATAGGTAATTAATTAATGGTAGCAGAACAAAAATGCTCGAAATAAGATATTTAGTAACAACTCTTTAACAGACATATCTTTCAGGGTTCCATGCAGTACATGGCATAAAGACTACCATTATAAGTATATTAAACAATAAGGCATCTAAATACAGCAACACCAGTTTAACGATAACACTTCCACCTTAAGAAACAGTAAGGTCTTAAACAATAAAACTTCCGCCCCAGACAACGCATGGTCAAACAATATAACGTTCACCTAAAGCAAACATTGAGTTTTTACATAAAATGCCTCCACCTAAAGCAACACCTAGAGTATATAACACTTACATTATAAACTGAAGAATAAACCATCATATAACTTTTTCAAACAATAAGGCAAGACAAGCAAAATGCTTCATTTCTTGTTCAGAATTTAACCCTATCTTGTTTCGTATATTATACTTATTGATCCATGTTTCAGTCACAGAAATTTGGATGCTTACCTGGGTGATTATCCTATTCTTGACTATGCAAGGGCCAAACTAGACCCAGAATGTAAACTTCGTTTGCTCACACAGACATTTGGAGAGGACGGTTACGGCATTGGTTTACCAAAAGGCTCTCCTCTCAAGGTGAGTGTTTAAATGTAATACATGAAGTCAACTATTATGTTTATGGGCGCAGGGATGAATGCGAATGCGCTGAAATACAAGCAGGATTTTAAATATTTTTACGTGATACATGTTTAATCTTCTATGCCATAAAAACAAAGCTGGTTCTAGAAACAATATTTCACGACTCTTTTGGGAGCTCTGCTTTTATTTCTCTCGCAACATCTTGGCTAGGAAATGTAATTACGCAATGTATTAATTTCGCTTTGGAACATGATTTATACCGGAATTATAAAATTTGTCACTTTCCCAAGAAACGTAATTACAAGCTGTTCGTGGATTGTTTAGTTTGTGTAATAATGAAATAATGTCATGAAAACCTCTCAGACTTTTGTTTTATATTCCAGATGATAAATTCCTTATTTTTCTCTGAAATTAATTTATTATGTAATTAATATATGTTGTGCGGACAGCAAAGCTTTGCTAAGCAAGTTTGAATTTGCTGAAAAATATCAGCCTTCAATCTTATTACAAATATTAACTGCCATAACGGATTAGATATATACATGTATATATGATATGCAGTTTACTTCCTTTGTCCGAAACTATTAACCATTACAAAAATAAAATTATATCTCCATTTCTTTTTCATTATCTTGATAAAATGTCATCTATAGAGCATTATTTGAAATGAATTAATACCACGAATAATAAAGATCACATATAATTATAACTTAACTGATTATCATCATTACAAGTTTTTGTATTGTTGTTTTTTATGTTTAAAGATTTAGCGTATTGATGTGAAATATTTGTGTATTATGACTTAACATACAGAATATCCAAGGCAAAAACATTTGTTATGATCAGAAACAAAAAAGATATCTACGCTCTCACATTGTTTTCTTCAAAATATGTAGTCTTTTGCCATAAGCTTCCTGAAAAATAAATGTACCTCTTATCGATTTTGACTATGAATTAACGATATTAATAATTGACAGTCTACATATGTAACACATATATTCGATTATTTATCTAGTAATCACATAATAATCAATAATAAGCTTTAATGATTTATTTTTTATTTTAAAAGATGCCATTGTCAAAGAAGATTCAGAACTACCACGAGAGTGGGTATATAGAAGATCTTATAGATGTACATTTTGCTGATTCTCAGTGTTATAAACAACGCATAAAACAGGAAGATTCACGGCTAGAAGTGCAGCATCATGCCGGAAGTTTTGTTATGTTATGTGTCGGAATTATTGTAGGTGTAGGAGTACTATTTTTAGAACACGCCATCTTCAGATGGGTAGTGCCAGCATTAAGAAAAAAGCCCGGATTAAGTTTTTGGAAAAGCGTTCACGTGATGTTTTTCAGCCAGGTATGTACATTTTTATTTATAACAGTTTTTAAACCTACAAATATAAGCATTTTAACATACATATACACTTGTAACAGTATGTTAAAATGTACATCATGTTAAAATGTTGTTGACGTTGTAACTGTACGAAATGGTAAACTAAACTACATTACGACATTTACGTATGCTGTGAAAAATATGTGAAAAAAACTAACGGAGGCGTCCCTTTTTATGTCAAATAAAGATAAACAGCTGTTCATTTTGTCATAATACATGGACTTGATGTCACCTTTTGTTAAATGATTGTATTAATTGAAAGAAAACAGAGGTAAGATAAAACATCAAATCTATATGTATAATGAAAGTTTAAGTATAATCAAAGTATAATGTAAAGGAATCTGATGAGTATTTAGTTCATATTTCCTATTTAGCTTTCAACTGTGTGTATGCCCGCCCGCGTGAGCTGCATATATGATAAGCGTCTTCATCATCAATTAAGCTTCTTACATCATGGTATTAGGATATGATAAAACATGATAAAAAAGACATGATATATGCTACCAATTAATCAACCACTTTATATTTCGACCTAAGAGAGACATTCAATCAATGCATATTGTTGTGAATAAAAATCTTGAGTTGTCTTCAGCCAAAAATGATAAATAACGTGACCAAGTGTTTAACAGGGGATATATCTTCAAAAAAGGGAAATGTTCAGAGCAGTAAATGTATTTTGTTAACAACGTTTGATAAGTTAAGAAATGGTAATGGTTTGAATCTTGACAAATCTTACATGGGAGAGATGATATTATTTTAAAGGAATATGCCTCTTAAATAAGAGCTCGTTAGAGCACAACATGGGTCATGGAATTGTTTTCCCATATGATACTGATGAGTTAAAAGTGGACAAAACTGGTTTACATAAGTTATTTTTGCTTGTTTTAACAACGACTTGATAACATTATTTTGACTTTGAATATAAAATATTACGTTAAACATGTTAATAGGGATATAAGGCGACGATCTCTTTCTTTAAAAATATATGGAAAGAAGATTGCTTTCAAATAAGAAAATAAAAATGTTAAGAAATGATGTATTACGTTTATTGGTTCTTTATTGTTATATACGAAAATGCAAACACTATATATAGTCGTTGTATAATTTGTTAGTTTCGTTAGTTAGTTAGTTAGTTAGTTAATGTTATATAATATAATGATACATTTAAATTTTCTCTACAATACTCAACATTTGTTTGATAAACGTCTTAAAAGGATCATAATGATAAAGATGTTGATCAATTAGTTTACAAAATCATGGGAAATACTTATTATTAGGTTTAAAATCATAGGAAATAATTATTATTAGGTTTTATAAATCATTTATACTAATTCAAGTTAAAACATGCAGCCAAATTGTCTAGGCGATTTTCGTGTTCTTAGAAATCAATAGATAATAGTTTGTTGTTTTAAAAGAAAAAATACAACAAAAACACATTAAGAATCGGTTTGACGATTTTAATCAAAGCTATAAGAAAATATTTCTTAAGCATACAGTAATAAATCAAGGCAAAATAACTGAAGGCTTGTAGCAAACAATTCAGTGCCAAATACCCTCGACTTCTACTTTTGGCACTGATATGACACGAACAGTGTTATTTGTATAACTATTAAATAACCTTTTGACCTGAGAAAGGCTTTGATATTATGATCCGAGTTTCAATACTTAATGTGGACTAGGGTCACTAATGAGTCATTGATGACATGGCTGGCATATAGGTAGGTCAATTAAAATTACAAAAAAATGTAACTCAAATTTTATCCAAATAAAAAACGATAACGTCATCGCAAAGATAACAAATTACAAAATGTGGTACAGTTTCAAACTTCGATTTTGATATTCACCATGAGAAGCCTTAATAACAAAACATTAAGGGAAACGGTGGTCTAGAGATTACGGTGTCTGCGTCTCAACTCTTGAATCATGGGTTCGAGCCCTAATCGACCATGTTTCTTCATATGACACCAGTACTGGTTGGTTTCGGGAAGCGGACTTGAAAGTGATTAATATAAGTTGCTAGAACTTGTTTCGCAATCGAGTTCAAGTAAATATATTTTAACCAACAAAACATCATACAATAGAAATGAGCAGAAAATGTTTACAACAGACAAAAGCATTGTTCACTGAGATCGATTATGCTATTTCACATTTTTTCATTTATTTAGCTAACCCGATTTCTCTTTCAGAGTTCGAGCTGTTTCATCTATTCCGTTTTATTATCGAGGATCATTGAAACCTCGTGAGAATTGCCGAGACTAATAATTCAAGACAATGTAGCACTATATAAAGTTCTCATTTCATCTATATTGCAATAATACCCATCTCGGAAACAGTGATAAACTTTGGCAATAACTTTATACTTCAAACAGATGTCATTCCATCTAATATACTCTTTACAAAGAAAGAGAAATTGATCAGGTTTTAGAAGAAGTATATTTTTAGATTGACTTATTCTATATTATACGAGAAAACTGGTGGTAAAAGAGCAATTGAAAGATTTTTTCATTAGGAAATTTTAAGAACTGCCGCTTCAAACGGTTCTGTCTAAAGATAAACATGCTTCTTTTCTTGTAAGTATATACTTCCAATGAGGTTTTAGAATATATATTCAAGGTTTTATTCATTGCAATATCACCTGAGGAATTTTGTATGAAACAATGTTTTCTTAGTGTTCACCATCCATTAAAAAGCAATATTTGTAATGTTATACTCCAAAAACATTGATTCTTGTGTTGATTAAAGCTGAATGTTAAATGCTAAATTCTGCTTAAGCCGGTGCTAGGGGACGTGAACGTACCATCCATAAACAGTACCACCCATAAACAGTACCATCCATAAACAGTACCATCCATAAACAGATTCAATTATACCTTTTCTTTTTACCTTTTTGGACATTGTTAGGGATTTTTTTCTTTTTTTCTTTTTTTCATAATCATAATTCGGCTCATATACTGTTACATTTATGAAGGTCTTAGGATAAAGAAGAACTTCTAAACTTTGTCCATTTGACTATGTTCCATGTGTTAATCAACCTCTTTGTGTACTAGTATTGTATGTAGGATTATTCATGGCTTAAAGTATAAACATAAGTATATACTTATTGTAAAAGAAAATGCAGTCATTTAAAATACATGACACACTACATACATATCATATAAGCAAAACGAAAATCGGATTTAAATATTCAATAGTTGAATGTAAGGAACCTAGTTGATATATTGATAATATACTTATGTTATAGATCATTTATATTTACATCATAATTGATAAAAATATTTCTAAAATTTGGAAAATGTGAACGTCAAAATACCAATAATTTATGAACACAGGTACTAGAGTTTTAATGAAAAATTAACTTTAAAAATTACCGGGATTCAGAATTTGAATAAATTTGACTTTTTTATATCAAATTGTTTCTGAAAACAGATAATGACTGTATAGTTTGTGGAGGTAACTGTCAAAACAGTTAGTACGATGTTATTTCTTATAGAATGAATTATCCTAAACGATCAAATGAAAAATGTATAACCAAGCGATATACAGATTTTGATACGTAAAAATATATATTCGTTGTTTGTGTCCCTTTTTGTGTATTTATACATTGATACTTTCTGAACTGTCTTTCTCTGCTATTCTAGTAACCAAACGGTGTATTTGCTCTCACCCAATGATTGGCATAACCTTTTAATCTGTTCTAATTATTGTTTCTGTGAAGAATGTGAAGCAGTGTGACTTTTCGATATTGGGTGAAATGTGTCGTACTGAATTCCCGTTCGGTTAATAGCACAGATATGTTGTTGATAATAATGCTCCAGGCCATACTGTTTTTTACACTTTTGCTTGTCAACCATAAACCTGCTGAATTCATAAATAGATTTTCCTAGCTTCCATTGTTATGCCACGAATGAAAAAGATAGGGAAGCAGGCAGTGATAGGGTGGTCCTTAGAAACGAATGCACGTCTTGTAATCCTTGTGTGATAGATAATTTGAGTAGTTATATGCCTATGCATGACCAAAACTTTAGTAGGAACATTTACTATTGCTTTCAAAGTCATCGGATCAAAAGGTCAAGATCACCGTACACTTTATATAAAATTCCTGTCAGAGCAATTGCAATAAGTTGAGAAGCTTTTAGGCCAGGTTAACGAACCTTCATAGAAGCATTGTCCATGACCAGTTTCTGCCTCCCGTTGATTCTGAGGTCATTACGTTAAGGTTACAGTGATACATGAAATGCTTGTATTATAAACAACAAGATTTTCCTAGTCGATATGAAAATTAATTTATACGTTTACACTCGTCATTCATTTAGATCGGATATCAGACGTTTTCTTAAATATATTCAAGAATAAATATTGATATACAAAATAAATATTGATATACTCAATACTTTTCTCAATGATATTAGATATAAACGTATGAGTTATAACACATTATATAGACTTATATCTAACATTAATTGTTATATGGACAGAAGCTTTTCCTTTTTATTTGTACATGAAAGGTCAATGTTACACTCTTTATTGCATCAAACATTTGAAAAAAATAAGCCTCAGTAAACGGAGCTTTGTAGAGAAATTGCCATTGTCAGAAAAAACCCATTGATTTTGAAGTCAATGTCACGGTGACTTATTTAATCCTAGTCTAATATATAACAAGTATTTCTCAAGTCACAGACTTGTGAATCTTATCTGTTATAGAAGCGTTATTTCATACGAAACTTACCAGCACATGACTTTTATACTATGCATAATTATGTAAATATGCCCCACTGATAGCTAATAAAGAGGTGACACATGTCCCATTGAAAATTTAAAGTTTAGTCAGCACAAGGGAGGAATGACTTCATTGCGATGTAAAGAAACTCTATAATAATAATTCTAAATGATGAATCAGTGGGTCTCTATACTGGCGACAAAGGCTAATCACTGTCCTTGTCAAAGATTTTATGATATTTGTTAAA